CCATCTTAAGCATGGTGAAGATGGTTAAGGTCCAGAAGCAACCGTTTAATTTTTATAGGCCCTTTAAAATTCGTGCACGGCACGGTCTCGGGCTGGTTGGCCACCTGGGCGCGGTCACCACGCTGGCGGTCCCATGCGCGCGCGCTGCCGTGCGTGGCCGTCCATGGCTACTCTGGCCTGGCTGTGGCCTGGCCACCGGTGGCTCCTAGCACGCAGAGCCGCTGCTGCTGCTTGCGCAGCCAGGCGGTGCTGCCGCTGGTCCCGCCACGCTGCCACACTGCTGACCCGCTCCGCGTCGCGAGGCAGCCACTACCGGTGTTGTCACCTCGCCATCATGTTCATGCCTCCCTCTACATCTCTACACCGCTGTCGGCCCAGTGCGATGCCACCTCTACCGCGCGCACGTGGTCGGGCACGTCGTTGCCTTGTCATTGATGGCACTACGGCGCGTGGGCCACGTCGGTCCGAACACGCATGCCTGTCTGCTAGCACCTGGACGTGGGTCTCCCTAGTTGCACCGACCACATCCAGCCAAGGCGCGCACACGTCGAGCCACCGGCCGTACCCCACCATCTCTCTCTCTGTTGCCGCCGTCAAGCCATGCCATCAATTGGCCATCGAGTGATCACCTCCATTCAATTCAATGCACCCACATCTTCACCATCAGGTGCTCTCGCTGCCCGACCCCACCCAGCCATGAAGAAGGCGCTGCCAAGCTCCAATTTTGGAGTTTCCCCACTGTCGTGCCGATAAGGTCGTGTCTGGCCATGAATGTGGCCAGCCCTCCTACCGTCCCTCCCGAGCCAATTCACTTGCACCACTAGCTTCGTCTTGCCTCCCTCTCCACCTTGTGCACGTCAGCGGAACTGCTACTGCCTCCCCGTCATTGCTGACGCGATCGTGCTGCCGTGGTGCGCCGCTGCACGACTCGGCCGCACATGGCCAGCCTTCCTCTGTCATCCTCCGCCCCAACCGTCACCTTGGCCTGGTTCGTGGTAGCCTCCTGATGCTCACGCGCTAACCAATTAGGCCTGTAGCTACCCTAGTTCACCGGAACAGTGACGCCGTCATCGCGGATGGCCACGCGCCACTGCAGCCTTCCCCAGCCAATCGTGTCACCCTGCACCGCCGGTTAGTGTAGCCGCTCGAGTCAAAGATGGTGACCGGCCTGTTAGGTGGTCTGTCGTAGGTCCCTAGTGGCCGGCGCAGCCGCGCTGTGGCACCGACCACCGCGTCGTCGTGCGCTGGGTTGCTGGGGGGGGTGCGCGAGGGAATTCCAGGAAAGCTAGGGGGTTAAGTGAGAAGGTTTGAGAGAAGGAGAAATAGTGTTAGCACTTAGTTATAATTCAGGAGAAGTTTGATGTCTCTTTTGCTAAATCGCCAGTGCGCGTGGGCTTTCCCCGGTGCGGGCCGTCTCCGCGTGGGCCGGCCTTACGTGGGCCATGCCTACGGGCCGCTATGCGCGTGCGCTGTGTCGTGTGGGCCGCGCGGGAGAATTTGTTTTTCTTTTTCATAAGGAATTAGAAATAGTTTTTTAATTTAATTTTTGAGCTGATCTTTGGCAATTAATCTAAAATCGTGTAGACGTCCAAAAATTGTAAAACAAATTTTGTTAGGTTTCTAAAATTGTGCTCTATCTGTTAGTGTATTTAATTCATATATATACATGTTGATACTATGAGCTATTAAATCATTTGAGAGTGCTCAATATTATTAGGTTCAATATTGTAGGAAAATTTTGTGGTAAATTGGTGATAGCTTTAGTTCTGAAATTTTTATGGTAGCTTCATTATATTATTATGTGCTCACTGTAATTTTTGTAGCTTTAGAATAGACTAAGCATTAGGATATTTAAATGCTCTTTGTTTCAATATACATTAAATCACTAGTACCAATAAACATATGTCCTTAATTTGCCAAGCTAAGGGTTTGTTAGTTGAACCCAACACTTTGCTTGGTAAAGATGATAGTTAGCTTAGTGCCTTAGTAATTAGAGCTAGCTTAGTAGCTTAGTATGTGTATTCTTAGTTTAAGAGTTGCGGTTGCTTAAATGCTAAGTGTTGCATCATCATCGCATGCATGTAGAGAATGAGTTGGCGGAGATCATGACCACCGACGATCATGAGTTCGAGAAGATCGTCGAGGAGTATGAGGAGGAGATTCTCATACAAGAGGAGGTCCTAGAGCTGCCACTGACTGACTCAGCTGACACCGTGCCTGCCCAAGGCAAGCCTCGGTGCATAACCCTTATTTTTTATAATCACTGAATATATATATGTGTGTGTGACGTGCATTTACGTTATATGAATTTTATGAAAACCACATGCATAGATATACACTTACTAGTGCAGGTTCGAGTAGCTGTTATGCTTAGGTTTTTGGTAGCGTGAGTAACCTGTCGTTACTCACAATAGATGATTATTATAATTACTCTCATGATAAAAAGAGTGAAAGGAAAAATAGAGACCAGACAGGGATATGGTATAGGTATTGGTGGGTGTAACAGGTTGTGTCCCACGGCCAACGAGGCTTAGCTTGGTTATATTGTTTTCCATATTCATGTCGATTAAGGACCGTCTCGTTGCTGTGGATGGTAGTTAGGTCACAGACTTATTATCCTGAGCACATACTTACTTATGAGAGCGGGAAGGCTCGTTATGCTTTTGTCGTGGGTTTCGACTCTTTTTGGACCGACTGATTGGAGGCGGGAAAATGTGGAGGTCTAAGCACTATATTGAGACTAGGTCTCAAGTGTAGGGGCTTGGACTCCAAGTTTGGATGGGGACCTAAACCCCGTGATAGAAGTGAAATGGGTTGGTCTTGTTTGTGCCTGGGGTACAAATGGGGCGTGTTTCAGGGTACCCAACTGGAATACATTGGTTCACGAATCGTCGTTTCTGTGAGACGGTATGACTTGGCTATGGTCTAGCATCGTAGTAAGAACTGGAAGATAAAAAATGGTGAAATGGTTCTGATTGCTCAACCCTTGCTTGAAAGTAGAACACATGCTTATCTAGAATGGTTAGCTAATGAAGTAGTCATGATTGTTAATAAAACTTGACTGTAAGGATGAACTATTAGTAATGCTTTCTGCAAACAAAAAAGAAAATAGTAAATCCATATTGCCTATCATATCCTTGAGAGTCGGAAAACTATTCCCACTAGTCGGGTAAGTCTTGCGAGTACATTGTGTACTCAGGGTTTATTTTACCCCTGTTGCAGGTGTAGCTTGAGGAGTAGCTCTTGTGTGGAGGATTCTTCTGGTGGGCACAGACGGATCCTTGTATCGTTTCCGCTAGATGTTTATTTTTATTCCGTTGTTTAATTATCGCACTCTGAACTCTAGTATAGTAATAAATAATTTTCAAGAACTCTTGTTGTAAGAAATGGACTAAGTATTATAAGCTCGTACTCATTATTAGATTCTGGATGTAAAACGTGGATTGTTTTGAGTTCTCCCTTAGGGTGTGCTCGACGGAACTGACCGATGTGGCTCACTTTCAAGGTGCTTAGTGTCTAGTGGAAGACGAGTGCCTCCAAAAACGTGTTATCTCGGACGATTCTGCCACATGCTCTTCACATTGTTTAGGGTCTGATTGGTTATCTGTATTAGGCTTAGCTTGTATTAGGTATTATGTAGCATAATCTAAGCCAACATAAACGCATGCATTGTCTTGATATTTGGTTGTTTTTCATAAGTAAGGTGCATTCAATAAAATTGTGTTTGTTTATTTGCATATAGTCAACCTATATGTTCTACTAGAGATCTCATGTTTCTAATAAAGATAAAGGGCATGAGAATATTTAATTTTGTGTGTCCATCATCTTACAAATATGTATTGCTTAATATCTAAACATACTAGCTAATGCTTTATTGGCCTGTTTTTAGAATTGTGCAAGCTTTGCATAAGAACTTTGCAAATAACCAAACACGAATAAAAAATCCACTGCATAAAAGCAAGTATAATAGGAGGCTATTAGCATGGTGTATGTTGAGGTGGAGACGAAAAGGAGGAGAGTGAAGAAATGTGTGTTGTAAGTTTACAACTAGCTAAAACATAGGAACTAAAAAATCATACTCTTATAAAGCAAAACCCCACTAGCCATTTCTCTTGACATGCAAGGTGTCCACCTCAGCAGTCCACTATCACTTACAATTAAAATTCATTAGCACAAGCAATTATAATATCGGTTAGCGAGACACATTATCCACTAACATATATTTAGTTATCCATATCAGCGTGCCACGCTATCCTCTAACATTAGTTTATAATAGTTAATCTCTTCGTAAGAATTGTATGAATAGTTAAATTTCATTCCTAAACAGTAATTCTTAAATTTCATTCCAAATCAGTAGTTCCCGCAGCAACGCACGAGGTGTTCTTCTAGTTCTACGAGGGGAGAGGATAAGCTACAAGTAAACTAATTACTATATAAGATCCATACAGCCAACCCAAGAAGACTGTGGCCCCGTTCGCTTCGCTGAAAAAACAAATTGAAATACTGTTCCAGTTGATTTGTTGTGAGAGAAAAATACTGTTCTGGCTGAAAAAAACAAGCTGAAAAGTACGGATTATAAGAGAAACGAACAGGACTAACCTTGCTCAAGGACCGTACAGGCTAGGTAAACGACCAATTAGACCCTAAACCACTTACACCTCGGCCCCACTTATCTCGAGTCTGTTACGCTGATCGGGCCCGCTCACCATCGCCGTCCACGTTCCCGTCCACGCACACCGTCACGTGGGCCCATCGGTCATTCTACCCCACATAGCAGGGACACAAAACTCAGGGGTCCCACATCTCCGGATAAAACGCAGCGACCACACAAACTAGTGACCACTGACCCACAGTCGACAACGGCATAACCCTCTCTCTCATCCCATCTTCCCACTCCTTCCATTTGTCCTCTTCCTCTCCCTCCAACCCCACGCCACCGTGCCCGAACTCCAAAGCCCCGCGCCGCGCCGCCCGCCAGCCACCACCCCCTCCTCACCCAGATGCCGCGGCCGTCGGGATCGCCGGAGCGGCGCCTCGCCGTGCTCCTGTCCCACTTCCACCCGTGTTGCGAGCCTCCACGCACCATCCCCGGCGTCGCCAGCGCCGAGTGCCTCGGGACCGCAGCCGCGGCGGAGGCCGAGACGGAGGGGAGCCTCTCCACGTCGCCCTGCGCAGGAGGAGAGGAGAAGGGGGAGTCCTCGGGTGGCGGGCACTGCGTGTTCTGCAACATCGTCGCGGGCACCGCGCAGGCCTTCAAGGTTAGTATGCAACGCTGGCGCCGCCTGCTCCCAGCTTGTTCAACCATTCTGCGTGTAATCGCGTCGCTACTCGAGGCGTTCTCTACTTGTCCTGGCTGTTCCATCACTTTCGTGGACTATGGGGGTTTTAAATTTGCTCTCGCGATGGATTCGTGTGGCAGTTGTTGATGAACTGGTTGCCTGTTTATTGATGAATTCGGATTGTTGTGTGCTGCATTTTGCAGCTCTACGAGGATGATATGTGCTTGTGCATCCTGGATGCTAAACCTCTAACAAGCGGGTAAGGGTTTAACGCTCTTCTCACTTGTCAGCTCTATCATTACTTCGTTTCTCACATTGATGTGCTTAATAATTTCGTTCAGTTACTTGAGTTTGTCACCCACGATTAAAACAACATACAGATAGTGACTTGTGTGAGACGTGAATTTTCACTGGTCGCTTGATTTTATTTGAGTAACATGCAATTTTTGTTATTTGTGTGCATCAAGTTTGTGCTGCTTTTTTTGCTATGTTCGATTAATGTGAATTGGCAAAGAATGTCTGAAACAATCTGTACTAAAAGTCAGTATGTTGGGCACACTGAAGAAGTTGAGATGGTTTGCTTGATACAAGGGTAATCTAGACTTTTTGTTTGTGCAATTGACTCTAAATAGTATTCAATAGGCCGTCGGATATTCAAGTTTCCGCACTAGAATGAATGGATGACAATGACATAATTAATGCCCAATGTGAAAGGAAACATTACTGCTAGAATCTGGACTTGAATGTTTTGACCTTCAGTGTTTGGATAAATCACAGATGCCATATGTAAACCAAATCTTCTCTGCCCTTGAGCTGTAAAATTGTAGAACACTGAAGAACTGGGAATGACACCCTATTGGATTTAGACATCTCTGCTGTCGTTTGTCTTCATTCGAGTGTTTTTTTTTATAAGAAAATCAAAATGGCACCTCTGGTCCCTCCATTTGACATTGTGATTTATGCACCAGATGGCATGTGTACTTTTTAAATCTGTGCAATTGTTAGTCCTGTAGATTACCTCTTTCATGAAGCTAGAATTTGCAATGCTGAGTTCCTTTGAGTGCCATTATATAGCCTTGTGGTATTATTGATCAGGCCAGATATGTCCTCAACTACCAGTGGCACTCTTTAAAAAATGGTAGTTGAGTTGCAGCTCTTTAGGTGGCTAAACTTTTTGTATTATCTCATTGTCTGGGTAATAAACATTTCAATGCACGTTGACATTGATTCTACTTTTGGTGACATGTCTTCTCTTTGTTGGCTCACTGGCCATCCAGTTGTCGCTGTAATGTAAAATACAATCTCCATCCCAGATGCAATTCTAGCTTTGGTCAGAGTCAAACTAATTTAAGTTTGACTGAGTATTTAAGACTCCAAATAGGTATATTATGAAAATATTCCATAACAAATCTAATAATACTTATTAAAAATGATAATATCTTTGTATATAAATTTAGTCAAACTTAAGATAGTTTGACTGAGCGCTATTCTAGAATTGCATCCTTTTTGGGATGAAGGGAGTATCACCTGTATCATTATTTATAGCGAATTCAAGGAAGTATCTGTCCTTTTGAACTGAATAGTATGGAGAAGCATTTGTCTATAGTTGGAATTGGCATTACATCAGTCTTGACTACAAAAATGCACCTTTTTAGTAGTGATGTTCATCATGAACAATTTTTTTGGTTGGTGAAGCCCTATTAGTTAACAATGTTTATTTCCTATTCGGTAAGAGCTTAAGGACATGCAGTATAGTTTTCTGGTGCTGGTGCACATGTCAGTTTACTACTGAATAATTTCTTAATTGAACAATCTATTACTCTTATTTGGTCTTAGCTCATGTGCTTAGTGCATTGTTGTAATGCCCTTCGTAACATCATCACATGTTAATGCATTTTACCCTCAATTAATGTTCTTTATTTTTCTGTTTCCTCTGTAGGCATTCCCTTATCATTCCAAAAAGCCATTACCCATCACTGCAAACAACACCACCAACTGTAAGTTTCGTTGTCATAAAAAAACAGAAGAGCTTGATAGTTACGTGGTTGATTGGATAAGCAATTGTCTGGGTACAACATGTTATTTATATTCCACTGTAAACATTATGTGGAGTTTATATTTTATTCTTTCTATTTCTGCTCTGGACAGTCAATTATCACCGTATCACTCCAGTTTTACATATTTAGTTTTTTTTTTTCAATTGGCACACGGCCATTATAAAGGCCCCCTTTGGAAATCTGGTATTTTTCCTGTTTCCTGCATTTTCCTGTGAAAATGGCCTGATTCATGTATGATTTGTGTGAAATTCTTGCGTTCCAAAAGAGATCTAAATAAGAAAATAAATTCTATACTGTTTTGCATTGCTAATCTAAAAACTATCTTGTGCTTTTATGGCTCTGTGAAGATATTTCCTCTTGTTCATCAGTCACCAAAGATACATAGTAAAACTTATGTTTCATAAACAATATTTCCATAGTACATATGCATTTATAATTCATTAGATTATGTGTTGCTTGTTTACTTCAGTGCACTGCATTATGGGGAAGTCCTGTAGATTAACCTTTGATTGTTTAAATTCAGGTACTAGCAGCTATCTGCTCTAAATTGCCACTCCTGGGTACTGCAATCATGAAGGCTACTCAATGTGGTAGGTAAATCATAACTTACAGGCTTCTTGTTTTGCACCCCGTAAATTATTTGGATAATTAACTAGTATTAACACTATCCTCTTATAAGACTGTTTGCTTGTGTAAGGTACATAAAACTGATAGTAACAACATCCTATAAGTATTACTTTTGTATCTGTGTTCCATTTTCTCTTTTTCTCGAACACGCAGGAGAGCTGCGTATCATTGTATTAATAGAAGAAAAAGAGAGTCATACATAGACCCGAACCCCACACACACACACACCACTACATAGACACTGGATCACCGGTTAAGAAAGAATGTGTTCCATTTTCTCATATATTGTGATTATTCTTCTGTACAAAACAACTTTGTTTTGGCTACTTTTATATCAATGTTTCCCTTTTTAGTTTGAATTGGTTAGTGCATTTAATCCAATATATGGTATGAGGCCCATAGATGTTGAGTTCGAATCCTTGCTAGTGCAATTGAATAAAAGAATGGTTGCTTGCTTCTATTACACATCTGAAGCTTGACTGAGCCTCCATGTATAGTAGAGTGTTGAAATATAAGTGAATTGCTCACTCTTCACCATCAGCTTATGCTTTTAGAGGTTGAACTGCATGCAACAGTAAAATGTTTTCTGGTATATATCTGCTACTTCTGCAGCTTCACTAACCAGCATAGGGTTTTCTGCTCAGTTACTACTCTCTGATGAAATATTGATGTTCATGTGGTATTTCTTGTTCACTATACATCTTTTTGGTCTTCTCGTGTAGTACTTCAGGCAAATGAACAACCATGGAAAATATTCTATACCCCAGAAATGTGAATACATATGCCGTTTAAGTAACTTATAATATTATTTCTTCATTGGTATCTTTGTTGACCCTGCTCAGAACTTGAGAGGTATTTTTCTTATATTGGTTTGCATTGAGTTAATCACAACCTGGTATCTGGGGTTCTTAGGAATGCATAACAAAGCATTTGCCAGTGTTCACCTAGACATTTTAAACGGCCTAGTCAGGCACTCATCGTTTAGCCAATTGATTGGACTAAACGGGCATGTAATCAGCCTATGTGAACATGAATGACAGTCATGCAGAGTTTACACGCTGTATAATCTACCTAAACGGCGTATAGGAAAACATGACATTTGGGTAGCAAAGGGACAAGTTAGGGTTCCTTCAATCCTTTGGGCATTCACCTCAATGTAGATCTTTTAGAAGCAGTAATGAAGCATGTGATTGATGTGCTGTTTGCATCAATACTGATACGTGGTGTTAAAAACTAAGCTGCTGATAGCAGTAATCTTATTAACTTTGCAATTTTATTCCCACTTCCGCACTGTGCATAATAAGTTATACATCTAAAATCATGAATTTCGGTTTCAATAGATGTGTCTAGTATGCTGTTATCTTATTCCATTCTTTACTTTATAGTTTATAATTGTGTAAGAGCTTGAATTATAGAACTCATCTTCTCATATTATGTGTAGTTACCTACTTTAGGTGACCATATTACTTCAGTTTTCCCTAATAGTATCTTTTTTGTTTAGATGCATTCAATGTGCTAATCAACAATGGAGAGAAGGCAGGACAAGTTATTTTTCATGTGAGTAATATGACATGCTATTTTTCACTACCTGACTTTGAAGAAATATCATGTTACTATTATCTGTACTGCCTGTACCAAGTTTTGTTAATAGAGGTTTTGTTGCAGACTCATGTGCATATCATTCCACGTAGCAAAGATGATAACCTGTGGTCTTCAGAGGTAATTGAAAATTTGCTTATGTCTCCACATTTCATGCTCAAGTAATTTTCTCTCATAATTTCTATTGATATACTGGAATTGTGAACATTTGCACAGACCTACTCAAGGAACCCTATTTCACATGGACAGGAAACTAAGCATCTTGTTAGCAGCATCAAGGAAATAATCTCTTCTTCCCCCAAAGACTACAGTACTGTAATGTCATCCACGCCAAAGGAACTCTGAAACAACTCAATAAGAATGTAGACAACCGATTCAAAGGGCATTTTTGGCTTTTCCTCTCGTTCTGCCTGAAGAGCATTGCTGCGGGATGGATTGATGTACAGCTTTGTCTCAGTCATGCCTTGAAATTTTGATAGTTACTGATAAAGTACTGAGTTGTAGAAAAGGCAAATGTGGTAGATCTTAAGGTCATAGTTGGGTACATCACATTGATCAGAAACCATCTTGTGAAGAATTGTAAAGATTTGGTTTCTGAAAATTGGTAGGTTTAAACTTCTGGTATCAAGTGGGAGAATGAGAACCGGCAAACCTGAGCCTGGGGTGTAGGTGGTGGATTCCAGTCCACACTATGTTTTGATCTCATCAGAACCTAGGAGACATGGATATATGAATGAGTCCATATGGTGGCGATTTGAATCACAAGCCATTTTCTTTCTGAAGCAGAGATAAGCCAGTAGAGCGCTCTGAACAATGCTGTTTCTGATTATTCAATTTTTCAAGTGCCTGCGCTTGTTTAAAATTAGTGCCTGCATGAGCATGATCCATATTTTGGTGTTTGATGTTCTTTTCACATGAAGTTCTTGATCTTCATATAGCAGGAGTAACATGGCTTTGTATCATTTGCACGTCCATCTTGGGCAAGAAAAAACAAGTTTTTGAAACCATACAAAAATTTAACCGACGCAATTAATATAACACTTAATTGTTTCCTATTAAGAAACAACCCAATGATACTATATGTATTGTTTCCTAGTAGTATTCTCTATGTATATGACACAAAATGTATCACATTTCACACTTCGAGGAGTTAATCAATTTTAAATTTGACTAAATGTATATAAAAAACTATTAACGTTTATGATACCAAATGGACATCATTAGATTAATCACGTTATATATTCTTATAGTAAATCTATTTAGTGACAGAAAATATTAATACTATCTCCTGTAAATCTATTCGAATTTAGCATTTGTAGACTCCGCAAAGTGCGAGATTTGTATTTGTTTTGGGACGGAGGGAGTAGTATTTTTGGATAGCAGCATGTCATAGCATGGAAACTCCATTGGGAATGGCCGGAGCTACTATTTCCATCTGTGTCCATAGATCCAAGTATCCTGTATCCAACCAACCAAACCCTATATTAGATATTCTAGACAACGTTGTTCCAAACACAGGTCTGATTGGTTACTAGCACAAGATTTGCATTGCATTAAGAGTTATACAACATAGGATATGCCTGCACAAGCTAATGCAATTCATTGTTGTTTGGTTGGACTGCGTCACTCTATTGCATTGTTTGTATCTCCTGTTTGGTTGGATGCATAGTGATATGCTGCAACTATTAATTTGAGTTTGGTTGAGCTGTACATCTGAGATCAGCCTAGACATTTCATCGAACACCCTCCATGCTGCAGCCCAGGTCGCCGAAAATCAGCGAGCATGACGGATGCTTCTCACACGAAAATGATCTCGCCGATTAAAAAATCATCTAGCTGAGACACTAGAGTCGTTAATTATTATTTGGGAGCATCACCGGACGTGTTTTCGGAGCATTAGGCACCCGTAGTGATCGTTGGAGAATGGCACTTTGCCGCCGTTGCGGGAGAGCGCGATGGCGAGAATCGCCGCCGTCGCCGGAGAGCACGCCGCAAGAATCGACGCAATTGGCGCTCCTGCTCCCCACGGTTCTTGGCGCTCGCAAGGTCCGAGTCCAGGAACGAGAGCGCAACCGATGGATGCGTCCTCCTCCCTCCGCTGGCCAGTCATCGACACCGCGCCGTGAGAGATGCGATAGGCACGTCCGGCTAACTGCCCGTCCCCGAACCTGACCGAATCCTCAATACAGCCCACCTCCCCGGGCTGCCCGAGCCAGCAGAGCTCAAGACAGCGACGGCCACCGTGCCGCTCTTCCTGTCACATCCCCACTGCAACCTTGCCGAGGAGAGCGAGAGGGAGGCACACATGCACAGCAGCTGCAGCAGCCTGCAGAGCGGGTGCAGGCACCGCATTGCATAGGTGGATACGATCAAATGTGAGGATACCCGGTTATGCAGCCAAGACGTGATTTGAAGAGAGTGCTAGCCTGTATAAGGAGATATGCATGAAACCAAATTAAGCTTTGCACTACGGTGCCTTTACAAGGAGATATACAGACTGTCGTTGGCTGGTTCGTTTCGTTGCTGGTTCGTGAAAAAATACTGCTGACTGGTTTGTGTGAGAGAAAAATACTGTTCCGGCTAAAAATTTACGATTGTTTACGACAAGTCACAGCCAAACGAACAGGCTGATAGAGGCAACCAATCACACCCGATGTTTTTCTTTGATCCATTGGAGAACTAAACCATGAGACATGAAATTCGCGCTGCCGCTTTTCCTTTTTTCTGAGCGAAATTCGTGGCGCCGCCATTTTTCTAAGAGGAAAGTGGAAACCATGTTGCTGCGTAGGGATAAAAATGGATCGGATACGATATTACATTTGTTTTCATATTTCTGATAGTGTCAATCATGCCGGATAGGATATGATTGGACATCGATATTATAAATATGCGATTTGAATATTCGAATACAAATACGGTATCGGACGTTGAATATCCAGATTCGGATATAGATAAATCTGAACATGTCTAAGTCTCAAAATAAGGTCGGATAATATCTGCATCGTTTTCACCCTGTGCTGGGTGCTGCGGTTCTGCCTTTGCCGCCTACCACCTGCGGCCTGCACGCTCGGCTTTCTGCGCGGGCTTGATGGGCCGTGAGATGGGCTTACCTCACAGCTCTCCTTCCACCGCGAGTTTCTGGAATCCGTCCAGTCGTCGCCACACTCTCCGGCAGGCCAAAGCAAGCGTTCCGGCGGCTGACGAACCTCTGCTCCGGCGACCGGGTTCCCGCCGCCCCTGACTCTGCCCAAAGCGAGCGCCGCGCTCGCGTCGCCTTTGCTTCCTCTACCCCTGCTTCGGCCCCGCGCCGGCGCTTTCTATCCTGCCGTCGCCCGGAGCTCATCGTGCTGAGCTCCAGCCACGCGCCGAAGGGATCTGGGAACTTCGAGGATGCTTTGCTGTGCTGGGCACCTGGCGTCCCTTCTCCTCTTCGCGCTGCTCTCTTTTTCCTCCCTTCTGCTCGTCGTCGGATCCCATCAGGACCAGGTACTAGTATACTCCGAGCTCCTCTCGCTGAATTCTAGATTTGTGCACGCAATTCATGCTTCTCCGGTTGTTATAGTACACAAGCTAATGTTCTCCGGGGGTGATTAGATTCAATCAGTAAGGCAAGGATATGCGTAGTTGAGCTTGAGCTGATTTGTGGGCTGTAGTTGAACGAATTCCAGCCTGATCGGCTGCACTTATTCGGCAGCTGCAGCTAGTGTTTGAGCGCATTTGCTTGCTCTGAGTTTAGAGCACTAAGGTTTTATCTCCTGGTGTATCTGCATACCAGACTATCTTTACAAATTCAGAGTTTAGAGGCGCTATGTTAGCAGTTTTGACTTGTGCAAGCTTATTATCTGATTAGTTTTCATGCCTAGTTTACCCTCTCAAGTGTTCATTTTCTTACAAGGATCCTGTGCCTGTTGTCAATTTGAAAACTGGTTGACCTTATCTGAATTTTACTAACAAGAAAAGTATGAGATTGGTTATCTTGCAATCACTGGTCCAGATATTTCAGCAAATTATACTTAGGGTGCGTTTGGTAGGGATTCTCAAAACAGTTTCTCTCCAGAAATAGCAGAATCCCTACCAAGCGGAAGCTGTTTTTCCTGAGAAACAGAACCAGTTTCTCTTCATACATGTTTCTCTGAGAAACCGAATCCCTGCCAAACACTCCCTATTCATGCAACTGGGATTCATTGCTTGAAACTAAATACTTATGGTACTGCTAAGAAATCTCAGAAAATCACTGCTATGTCCCAGATGAGCAATTATTGTTTTATGGTGATACAGGAATTAAGACCGATAATGCTTACAATGGTTTCTTCCTAGAAAAACATTGTATTAGTACAACTGATATGCACTTTTTTAGTGTTGCCTTTTCTCCACTGTTATCTTTGATGTACTCATACTTATTCTGGCTAATGCAGAATTTGTTCTTTTTTATGCTTTAGGAATTCCGTGAAGCTGTTGGATCCAGGTACTGTATTCAAACACATAAACTGCACATGGAAATTTTTCATGTATTGTTGTATTCTGTGTGTTCCACCTAAAATAATATGGTTTTGTTCTGTGTGTACCATTAGAATTTGTAAGTAAGGTTCACACCAGCATTATCCTAAAGTAGCTCATTCCTTGTAGCCGTAATGAAATTATGAAAAGAAAGATAGAATTACTCCCTTGAGACTATTTAGATTTCTATGTAGAATTTGATACATGGACTATTGTCCTCTTCTATTTCACTTGATTCCAGAATTCTTCTTCAAACAAATCCAGATGCACATGAGGTGCATTGCTCAAGGGAAAGGAGCCGTGCAGCTTGGGAAGCTATTGATGAGGTAGCACATGCAACCTAACAGTTCTATCTGTGTTGCTGCATCCGTAACACCGTTACATGTTGACCCTCATTTCTTATGCAGTATTTGATGCCCTTCGTGGAAAAAGAGAAATATGAGCTCCCAAGCAAATGTAGACTTCGTCCTGATAATGACATGTTTCGGGAGCAAGAGCAACATAAGATTCATTTTGATATTAATGAGTGGCATTGTGGCTTTTGCAAGAAAGCTTTCCGAGCAGAGAAGTTCCTTGATCAACATTTTGAAAATCGGCACAAGAATCTTGTGGATAATGTATGTTTACATAACAGTGATTATATTTCTTTAGTATATGTTTACTTATCAGGAATTTGATATTGTCTGTGCTGTTTTCACAAGGTACAACACAACAGGGATGAAACAAAATATAAAAGCTTACAGTTATACACAAATGTATGACAATCTAATCCTGATATAAACAATTATGGTCCTCTGTAACAACAAAGTAGGACTGTTTGCTTCCAAGTGTCCATGGTAGATACTTCTCTGAAATAATTTCATTTCTTATCAGCATAATCAACTGTAAATTGCGTGATGAAAACTCTAAAACTTTCTCTTGTTTTGACTTTCTATTGTGTCACTCTGAAGGGTATAAACTTTGACACTGATATCATGTTGTGAAAACAAGGCTGACTTTAGCAAGTATATCTTGTGAAGCGAATAGTGAAAGAACAAATTAAAACTACTTCCAACTTGGTGACAAATTTGACAATTAGTGCTTGCATTGTGTATACCCTTGAATTTAAAATAAGGTTTTGTTTTCAGCTTGGCACTCAAAAAAGAACCCATGTGAGGATTACTGGACAGCTCTTTTTTTGCTCTAATTTGGACTACAGTTTTCAACATATCCTTGATGGTGCGTGTGTGTTCCGTCATGTGTTTTTTTATTCCAAAGGCGCATGTGTGTTTTATGTAATGCTGTGCTGTGAGTGTTGGGCTTACAGGTTTTAAACCCCTGTATTCTTAATATAGTGATACACATCTCTTCTGCGTGTTCGAGAGAAAAAAAAACATTGCTTGATGGTCTGGCAATTTTTTTTTCATGGACACCATTCGACAAATGCAAATCGTAACTTTCATTCTTGGGCAGCAGTTTTATAAGATACATTCAAGTTATCTAGCTTAGTTTTAGTAATTTCAGATAAAGACAACTAATGAGATGTTATGTATAATCCAAAACTGTCACTGATTTAAAGTAATCTGCTTTCTAGCCGGAAAAGATAAGAGATAGGAAGAACCTTTTTATATTTATAAGCCTTCTGGGCTATGCACTTAAAGGTACCGAGTTAACTTGTTTTATTTATCCTGGTTGATTCAACTTTATGTTTTTTACCATGAGGTGGGTTGTTGGCTGTATTTTCTCTTAATTAAAAAGTCATTTACCATTTCAGAAATAATAGATTTTGATCTATTTTTTAGAGCGAAGGAAGATGCATGGCAGATCTATGCGGAGCACTTCACTGCGATCTGATGATGCAGTTCAAGAAACCAAAAAGTAAATGCAATGCAGCTGCAGCTACAAGGAATCGTCATCTTTGTGAGGTTCTTATCATTTTTTTTTTGTATCTGATATAAATTTGTTTGGTTGGTTGGTTTTCTGCTATTCTGGTAACGTGCAAGATGTGAGATAATCTGCTGCTCCCCCTTTGCTTTTGCTGCAGCAGAGAAGGGCCATCTTGGTCAGCTCTTGCTGCACCTGTTGAGGTATGGCAATAGGCCATCACCTCCTTGTACTAGGTGTACATTTAGATGTGGCAATAGGCCACTAGGAGTAGTGGCTTACTTCACCTCCTTACCAAGGCTACATCAGAAAAACAAACTTTAGTTGGTACATATCTTGTATATATACTAGGCACAAGCAATGGAAGAAAATCAGTTCAGAGTTGCCACAATTCAGAGTTTCAGTGCGGTGCTCTGCTCGTGCTGTGTATGTGTCTGCTCTGTTCTCACCCCCCTTCTTCAACATATTTAGGGCTTCATTAGACATGTCTCCACATATTCTACCCTTGTTTAAAACTACTGTTTTTGCATTGTGATACTGAGAAGCAGCATCAGTTCTACATGCAGGCACACTGCCACTGGTGTGGTTAGTTCATTTAATTAGATGAAACCATGTGAAGAACTGAAGATTACATGTTTGTCTTCTCTGAATCAACTGGCATGCTCTGGCCAGCCTCTTCGATATTAGCATAACTGCGATTGTCCTGAATCAATATTGAAGAATTGCGGGAAGATACATTCCCATGGCTTTTGCTACTTTTGTCTTATACTCTTTCATATGGCAAACAATAAATATGCTATCTAGCTACCTTCTACATGTGTTTGTATGATAGCAACGTTCAACTCCCTCCTTTTACTGACAGAGCCTTGCAGACAGTTGCTTTCCAGTTAATCAAGGTCTTGCTGCCAGCCGTCTTCATGGTAAGTGGAACGTGAGTGAATGTAATGATCAGTCACTCACATTTGCCTTGTTGATGTACGCCTCTTTCCAATGCAGCTAGCACTGCATATATTTTCGGACGCAGCTGGTTTTGTAGAATTTTTCTGATGTAGTTTGTTTTGCAGAATTCTTCTTGCGCCAATTTTGTGATGCTCACATTTGCAATAAGGGAACTAAACCTTTCCCGAAAGGTGGCAGGGTGAGCATTCTACCAGGAAATCTTACACATTGTGCTCAAATGCTTACCTTAGTTCAGGTTATTCAGCTTTGCATTAACCAATGAAGCTACACCTGATAGATGCCACCTTTATAAGCAGTAGATAGCATATATAGTGAGATGGTATCATTTGGTTCCTTTTCTGGCTAGGCTTTTAGTTTCTGGATAATTCACTGCCTTTCATTTTAGCATGTTTCTAAAAGCCTTGTTAAAGAATTCAATACGCCTTACTAATTTTGCAATCCTAGATTTTCACATATAAAAATGTCTGCTTTAAGTTAAAGCCAGTGCAGTACAAATAGGTGTACACAGATATAGATGCTCAATAAAATAATCATTATCAATTGAACTAAGCTTCATAAATCTCCTTATATCTAGATTTATTAATGGTTCAGGAAAAATATCCTGGGAATACTGATATCTTGGTAGAGTTCAGAAGGGACCTCTTCATCTTATTGCTATTGTCTGCCCCTTTCTGCAGAAACAAACAAACAGGTTTTACTTGGCTCTCTGCATCTTGACACTGATACTTTTGCCCCTGTTCTATCTCATTGTGTTCCTGCACCAGAGGTTTGTTCTATCTACTTTGTGATAATAGCATTTCTTTTGTGTTGAGCATTTCCAAGACTCTCATATTTTGCTGTGCAGGGAAATGAGGAAAGGCACCCAAGATCTAAAACGGTTTTCAAAAATTGGGCAGAAGAAAAAGCCATCCTAGTTGTAAGTTTTCTGTGTGTGCCCAAAAATCCTATAAGTTGTGTGCACTGTTTTGCTTGTAGCAAGTAACTATCCTGTGAAATTAGAACATCTCATGTTTTGTTCAACGAGCTCTTGGGTTTTGTCTGTTTGAACCCTGGAGCTTGGACCACCAAACCATTTACAATGTGCCAATGAGTTGTCAAAACAATTTAATCAATACCCTAGGTTTTAAACTGCCCTAGTATTTTACTACATGCATTTTCACCAGTATAATTTAATTGTTTGTAGTTGCTAACTAAACCCATGGCATATTGCCATGCTTATCATGACACCAATACACGGATAAAGCGAGGGTACATGTAAAAAGCTGCTCTTTAATTTGACATGGATAAAGCCAGGGTGCGTTCAGACCTAGGCACAGATGGTTTCGATTTTCAACAATTAGAGTGTACAATGGACTGTTTCTTACTTGTGGATTACAGCTCTTTCAATAAGTCTTATTTTCTCTTCAGATCCTGGTTGTCTAATTCAGGCACAGACGACTGAATTGTGAATTCCCTATTTTTCCCTATATATTTGGTGCTCACGTCGTGTATGTTCCCCCTGCAGTCCAACAGTCACAATGTTCCTGGGTCCATGGGGCCAAGGAGCTGGATAAGTTACGTGGGATGCTACTTGTGAAATGTTTTATAGGCGGGGAAGATTTTCCCCTCATTTCCAGAACGGGAACAATGTTCGCAGGTCGAGGAATGCCGGCCTCGACCCATTTTCTTTTTTTGTGCTGTTTCGACATGTAGATGCAAACTTCAAGAGGCAAGCATGTGCAGTTTTTGTGAGCTTACGGCGATATTCTTTATCGTCAACCATAACTGAAGTCCTGTTGATAGTTCACCCACGGAACCAGGGGTTTACATGACTTTGTATACAATCTTAGGAGGTAAAACAGTGAAGAATGTTGAATTTGTAATTTGTAATACATTTTCGTATGACACTTAAAAAAGTATACCCAAGCGCTTTTGCCGATTGAACCGGTGAAAACAGCATGTTTCCTCAATTCAGAAAATGGAAACATGATATCTCGTCGTTCCAGCGAATACAATTGATTCACTTCGATCAAGTAAAGGAATTGACGTCAAATATATGTCATCACTCCTGCCTCCATATCATATATATATATATATATATATATATATATATATATATATATATATATATATATATAAAAAATAATATATGAAACATGGTTCGCTCGTTTGATTTGATTAGCGTTTTGTGAAAAACAAGAAAAAACAATATTTTAGCTAAAATTTTAGCTAAAAAAGCAAGCTAAAAAGTATGGATTATAAGACAAACGAACATGACAATTGTGAATTTGCTATCATGGAGGATAGCTACCCATGGCTTTGCCACGTGGATTAGTGAACGGGAGGATTATGTTTTCCGGTTGCGGTAAGTATAGGACTGTGGGGCACCTTTTTGGTCAGGACTGTGGTGCACCTTGTTCGGCCTTTTCGGGCAACAGGATACCCATGTGCGCATTTGGTTGTAAGTCGTATTTTTTCAACCAACGAATAATATTTTCTCTCTAAAAAAATCAACCAACAGTACTTTTAGTCATGGCTTATCAGCCAAGCTAACAGGGCTCTGGTATGCGGGTATAGGGACATACTATCCACACATGTGTACCCACGGGTAATTTATACCTATCTTAATAACACATATGTATTCATTAACTAGGCCCTCTTTGGTTGGGCTTTTGAACCTGTTTTTGTTTTTGCAAAAGTCAAAAGCCAATCAAAAAACTCAAAAGCCACAACTACTTTAGGCCAAAAGCAGCTTTTACTCTATTACAAAATTAAAAGCAGCCCTCCCCTGCTCTCTTAGCTGTTTTTAGGGGGGGAAAATTACCCACCCGCTAGTCATGAAACCTAACCATTCGATCTTCAGCCTGTTCGGTTGGAGAGAAACGATAGTATACGATCGTAAATTTCCAGTCGGAACAATATTTTTCTCTCACATAAACCAGCCAGTAGTACTTCTTCACAAACCAACAACGATACGAACCAGCCCACAAGCTTAAGGATTCGATCTTTTATTTATCCTGAGCTTTTTTTTCTCGCGAGCGTCTTCCTCGCAAAGTCTCCTGCGGGCGCCGCCCTGGCGGTGGGCGCCTCTGCCCCTGCACCGGCCTCCCCTGGCGGTGGGCGCCTCGGCCCCTGCTCGGGCCTCCCCCGGCGGCGGCGGGTGCTGCGCCCCTGCTCCGGCCTCCTCCATGGCCGACGTCCGGCACACCTCCTCCTCCATGGATCCGGCGCAGGTAGCTTCATGAGTGCCTCCATGGCCGACGCGACCGTAGGCTCCGCTGGTCCCTCCGCCGCATGAGGTCCCAGGTCTGACCGCTGCTCCTCTTCTTCCAGCCACTGCTCCCCAATCCCCTTCCAGCCGCTGCTCCCCCATCTCCGGTGGCATGTCGATGCTTCTCCGCTTGTGCATGCTACGTGCGGCGACGCATCCTGCTGGAGGCCGGCCTCCCCACTCCGGTGAGCCCCCATCCGACTCCGGTGAGCCCCCATCCCGATTCCGGCGAGCCCCCCTCCCCTCTCCTCCCACATCCGACGAGATCCGCGCACCACTTCGGCAAGCACTGGAGCGGCAGCAGCGGACGCGCTCGACTCCGATGAACAGGCACCGGTGTTGCTCCACTCCGGCAAACCGAGCGGCCCTGGTGGCGCGCAGTCCCTGGTCGACGGGAATCCGACCCCGACCCCGACCCCTGCGGTTGGCTTGTGAGAGAAGAAGAAGCTTTGTGTGAGACTGACGAGCGTGGTCCACTTGTAAGTGAATGAGTATGGTAGCAATTTGTATAGAAGCCACAGTTGCTCAACCATAGGGTTTTTGGTTTTTCCCAAGGTCCACATCCCACGGCTGCTTTTTCATAAGCCAACAGGGCCTTACTATGAAATACACATATATCTAATATATCCATGACTATTATACTACTAATTAGTGTAGTTTTGTTGATTTCTATTGACAAAGAATTGACGATATATGATTCTAATAATATAATATGAGAAATTTTACAGCGTTTGAAAATAGAGAATTTTTACAATGGTTGTCATAAAATGGACGGCTCACGAGGACCGATCTGACGGCTAAAAAGGCAAAGGAACTAAGAGGAACCAATTTAAGAGGTACCGGGAGGAACCAAGTGCATACTAAATGGTGGGACCATACGCACCGGTGAAATGTCCTAATATGGCTAGAGGGGGGTGAATAGCCTATTTAAAAATCTACAAATCAACTAGAGCAATTTGATTAGTATGACAAATAGCGAAATACAAACTTGCTCTAGCTCTACAAGGGTTGCAAGCCACCTATCCAACAATTCTAGTTGCAATGATTACTAGGCACACAACTTACAATGTTACTACTCACTAAGAGCTCTCAAATATGCTACTCTAAAGAGCTCCACTAGATAAACTTAAACTTAACAAAGCAAGCTCTCAATTCTAATTACACTAAAGAGCTTATCACAACTAGTTTGCAAGAATATAAATGAGTGAGTAGGGTGATTATACCGTCGTGTAGAGGAGTGAACCAATCACAATATGAATACTAAATCAATCACCGGAAGAATTCCAAAGGGCAAGAGACAACCTATTTTTCTCCCGAGGTTCACGTGTGAAAGCTCTAGTTTAGTTTTGGTTAATTGATGAAACCCTAAGTGCTAACCTAGTTTATCAAAGTGATTATGAGATAGGTAGCACTACTCCAAGTGATGAAGCAATGGCGAAGATCATGACGACCGTGATGGCATGGTGATGATCAAATGCTTAAACTTGGAAAAGAAGAAAGAGAAAAATAAAAGGCTCAAGGCAAAGGTATAAATTGTAGGAGCTATTTTATTTTAGTGATCGAGACACTTAGCGAGTGTGATCACATTTAGGATTGATAGCCGTACTATTAAGAGGGGTGAAACTCGTATCGAAATGCGGTTATCAAAGTGCCACTAGATGCTCTAACTCATTGCATATGCATTTAGGATCTAGTGGAATGCTAACACCCTGAAAATGTTTGTGAAAATATGCTAACACATGTGCACAAGGTGATACACTTGGTGGTTGGCACATTTAATCGAGGGTGGTGAAGTTTGGGTGCAAGGGTAAGAAACTCCACCGGCGGAGTGTCCGCCCGTAGAGTGCGGACAACCCGACGGTGCCACCGGCGCCCTAGACAGAAAAGCTAGAGGTCACTGTAAGTGACCGGACGCTGGCCTCGGTTGGACCGGAGCTTCTGGTCAGTGGCAGCTAAGGGTGCGCGTTTCGGTCTTTTGACCGGACGCTGGGTCACTTAGTGACCAGACGCTGGCAGGGTGCATCACGTCAGTGCTGACGTACGCTGACGTGAGGCGCACAGAGGAGACGTTGTGTGACCGGACGCTGGGCGTGTCCGGTTGAGCATGACTCGAAAGTATGCTATGTTGGGTTTTCTTCCATTCAATAACTCATAAGGTGTCTTCTCCATCATAGGGTGACACTAGAGTCGGTTGCTATAATAGCAAGCCGTGTTGATTGCTTTGGCCCAAAATGAATGACTCACATTGTACTCACTCAACATTGATCTTGCCATGTCAATGAGTGTTCTATTCTTCCTTTCAACTAAGCCATTTGATTGAGATGTGTACTTGGCCGAGAATTGATGTCTAATTCCAAATTCATCACACAACTCATCAATTCTAGTGTTCTTGAATTCACTACCATTGTCACTTGTAACTTTCTTGATGGTTGTTTGAAACTCATTGTGAATGTCCTTGACAAATGATTTGAATGTTGCAAACACATCACTCTTATCAACAAGAAAGAACACCCATATGTATCTAGTGAAATCATCCACAATCACAAATCCATATTTGTTTCCACCAATGCTAGTGTATATGGTTGGTCCAAACAAATCCATGTGCATCAACTCAAATGTCTTAGATGTGCTCATCATGCTCTTCTTAGGATGTGTGTTACCAAC